GGTGGAGCAGCTTTTGATATGCAAACTAACACGTTCACATATTCTTTCAGGGCAGAGCCCTGCAAAACTCCTGAGACCATTTCTGTCTCTAATACAGTAACATTAATTTATGGAGCGACATACATCAAACATTTTAATCATGTGGAAAGGGACATTGACTGACTATCCAAATTTATGCTGTGTTAAACCTGACACATCCTTCAGAACTTTTGAGTGTCCTTTTAAAATCTGAGCCTACAACACAAATAATCATTTTTACCTACTTTCTGGAAACAAAGCCCTCTTGAATGCACTTTTGTTAAGTGTGTCTATAGATTGCAGAAAAGCAAATTTAGCAAAGCTGCTCATAAGATAAATTACTAATGCCTTCTGAAGGCAGAAAAGATTTTAAAAGTAGTTAAACATAAAATTATTTGTATACTCATTTCATTAGATTCATATTTGTAATAGGAAAATATATCCTAAAAATACAAATCATTATTTGAGAAATCTTGTCTTTCTCCTCCACAATTAAAATGAAAAAAAAAATTGCTAGATCACAGCAAAATGGGATAAGAGATGCCTTTGAGGTTTCATTTTTATAGCAGAAAATAACTGTAGCACTTTCATCCTAGGAGTTAACCTACCTGCAAAGCTATATACTTCAATATTGTCTCTACTGTAACTAGCCTAAATTTAAAAGGATGGTGAAAATAAGCAAAAGAAAGATATTAAAATACTATTTTTTTGATCCTTTTGTAGTTCATGAGCATGATGATTGGGTTTTCACATGCACGTGCGAGCTGTGCCTCCCTCAATCCTTGTTACAACATCAGCACATTACCCGTCTGACTTGAAATAAAATAAAATAAAATACTATTTTCACTGGAAAAGTACTAGAAAAAAACATGAGATGACTCTTTTGGTAATTTTAGAGTGCAGAAAGCTTTTCTAAACAAGATTCAGAGTGCAGGAACCATAAACAGAAAAGATTAATAAATTTGTCTACACAAAAAAGTTTTGTATTGAAAAAAAAATTCCTTTTTATTTTTTTTTTTTTAATAGAGACAGGGTCTCACTCTGTTGCCCAGGCTGGAGTGCAACAGCCCAATCATAGCTCACTGTAACCTCCAACTCCTGGGCTCAAATGATCTTCCCACCTTAGCCTCCCAAGTGGCTAGGACTATAGGCATAAGTCACCATGCCCAGATAACTTTTTAAAAATTTTTGTAGAGATGGGGGTCTCACTATGCTGCCCAGACTGGTCTCAAATTCCCGGCCTCAAACGATGCTCCTGCCTTGGCCTCCCAAAGTGCTGTGATTACAGGCATGAACCACAATGCCCAGCCAAAAATCCCTTTTAAAAGCCAAAACGCAAATAAGAAATGTGGGAAAAATATTTGCAAGATCTATGGTAGACAAAGGGCTACCTTCCTTCATAGGAAAAGACTCTTACAAACAAACATTACCTATAACCCAAGAGAAAAATGACAAAGAATTATGTATAGGCAGGTCATAGAAAAAACACAGATAGCTTATAAACATCGTTTAAAATGATGTTCAATCTCACCCATAACGAAAGAAATCTAAGTCGAAGCAATGAAAAGTTATGTTTTATCTAACAGATTGGCAAAGATCCAAAAGTGTGCTACACAGTGTTGTCAAGTCACAGGGAACTAGCCACTCTCAAACGCGGTTGATGGAAATGTAAATTGGCACAACTGCAACCGAGGGCCATTTGCCAAGATCAATCAAAATGTGGTGGTTCACGCCTGTAATCCTAGCACTCTGGGAGGCCGAGGCAGGAGGATCGCTTGAGCTCAGGAGTTTGAAGCTGCAGTGAGCTATGATGACACCACTGCACTCTACCCCGGGTGACAGAGTGAGACTCTGTCTCAAAAAAAAAAAAACAAATGAAATGTATATGTACTTTAACTTAGCACACCTTCTAGGAATTAATCCTATGTATATCATACATACACTAATACTGGATACAAAGATCTGTATGCATAAAGATCATTTCTGCAGCTTTGTTTTTAATGATGAGAGGATGAAAACAACCTGAATGTTCTCCTCTAAAAGACTAAGACAAAAAATTATGTCACATAGGATGGAACATTTGCAGCCATTAAAATAAGGGGCATGTGCAGCTATGCAGTAATCTCTGAGATGCAGTTGGTTATCAAGTGAACAAAAGAAAGTGTATATAACACGCTCCCCATTTTTTAAGTGATAGTCAATTGTAAATTTACATAGAAAATTTCTGGAAAGCCAAAGAAGAAATTGCCAATATTGGTTGACTTAGAGTGTAACCAGCTATGTAATTTGCCAAGACCAGAGTGAAATGAAAACACGGGGCCCTTTGTTCGAAAACTGTTCAGGATTGCAAGACGGCAACGGAAGAGTATTAAGCCAAGTACAGGAGCCCCTTGCACAGGGAGCCGTGCGTGACGCCCCAGGTCACAGCCTACGGAACCGGCCCGGCTGCAGGGGAGGCAGCTGTGGTGATGGGAGTTAGAAATGGCAGGGGAATCATTTTCACTGGAGACCATTTTCAGTCACTTTAATTTTCCAGTGGGTGCATGTATTAATTTTTCAGTTGCTAGAAGAAACTATCTTATAAAAAAATAAAATCAAAATTCCTTACCACCACCATCACCACCCTCCAAAATTCCTATTATCCTTTTCTTTACCCAAACAAGAGCCACAGTTCTTAGAAATATGGTCAGGTGGAGATGAGATAGGGAAACGGCAGGCGCTGCTCATAAAGGGTCATAAGACCCAAGCCAAGGTCTCTGATAAAACAGGAGAAGGTGGAGAAACCTGCCCAAACCAGCCAGAAGCCAGATGGCCACGAAAACCACAGTTACCGTCGCTGCTCATTATATAGCAGTTACAATGCATCGGCATGCTCAGAGAAACGCCCACCAGTGCCAGGACAGTTTACAAATGCCATGGCGACACCTAGAAGTTACTCTGTATGGCTCAGAAAGAGGAGGAACCTTGGTTCTGGAATCTCTCCACCCCTTTTCCAGAAATCCTGTGAATAACCCTCTCTCCACTTAACATAAAATTAAATAGAAGATACAAAATAAGACCCCAGAGACTCACCAAATGCTACTCTCTGTTGTTCTGAGACAAAGCCGCTGCCCTGTCTATGGGGCAGCCTCCCTTTTTTTCTTTTGTTATTTCAATAAAATTGCTTTTGCTTTACTCTTTCAGTTCACTCTTGAATTCTTTCCTGTGAGAAGCCAAGAACCCACCTGGCCTTCAAACGGACCCTAGTTCTGGGGTCCACTTTCCTGTATTGGAGGGAGGTAGGGAGGTTGTGGGGAGGGCAGGAGTGTAGGGTGGAGAGGAAGGGCTCTTCCTCACAGAGGAAATCCTGTCTACACTTTGGGAAGCCCCAGGTTAAATTTACCTGAGAGGTGGATATTGAACCATATGTTCCCCTAAGTGTGTGCTTACCACAGTAAGATTGTTTGAAAACACTCCCGCACCCACAGGACTTTTAGCTAAGCCTCTGAAGAATGTTAACGCAGCCATGAATCCCTACAGCCACAGTAGTGAATTCCTACAGCCTTGTGCTAGATTGAACAGGGTCCCCCACAAATCCATGTCCACCTGGAATCTCAGAAAGTGACCTTATTTGGAAATAGGATATGTGCAGATGTTATTAAACTAAGGCCTATCCCAATGACTGCTGTCCTTACATGTGAAGACACAGAGGGACACAGGGAGAACACCGTGTGAAGCTGGAGGCAGCGCTTGGGGAGATACTCCTACAGGCCAAGGAGTGCCAAGGATCGCTGGCAAATTTTAGAAGCTGGGAAAGAGGCATGGGACAAATTCTCCCTCAGAGCCTCCGGAAGGAATTAACCCTGTGTCAACAACTTGATTTCAAACTTCTAACCTCCAGAACCGCGGGAGAATACATTTCTGTTGTTTCAAGCCAGCAAGTTCGTGGCACTTTGTTACCGCAGCCCTAGGGAAACTAACACAAGCCCCCAACAACTAAGTAATTCATGCTTCAAATCAGAAGTCTGCAAACTTTTCTGTAAAAGAACAAATGGTAAATATCTTTGGCTTTGTGGGTCAGATGGTCTCTGCTACAACTACTCAAATCTGCCATGATGCAAAATCAGCCACAGGCAATAGGCGAATGAACTGATATGGATGTGTTCCAATAAAACTTTATTTGTTGAAACAGTGGCAGGATTTGTCTCTCAGGTTATAGTTTGAAGACTGGTGCTTTAGAGGAAAAACATAATACAGAAAACCTAACCTAAAGAACCAGCAGCTCTGTACAGCAAGGGCAGAGGTGAGTTAGGATTCCCACACCTGGCCCCAGCACACAGAAGCAGAGCAGCACTGAGCAGCTCCCCCAACTTCCCCGAGCCCTCCTTTCCTCATCCGAGACACAACCCTAGGTAATTTCAAGTTCTGGTATTCTGAAGTCCTTTTTTATAAAAATGCTTCTTTTCAGTGATTTGATTTATTAAGTACAATGTGTAAACTCTAAGGAAAAAGTGATTTTATGGAGAAATGAACTATTAAAAATATAAAATAAAACCACTGTTATAATTAAAATGTACAGAACAGTTTTTAAACTAATTAGATAAATTTACACAAATTTATCTTGTATTTATAGTAAGACTTTACTTCTGCAAATCCATCTTTATAAAAGTGAAAACTTACCACGTCTGTGTAGGTGCACACGGCAAGGCTGACGGAATTCTTTTTTCACTAAATGCATATTTTGTTTGAACAAATGACCTCAGTTCTTCAAAATAAAAGAAGGACTTTAAAATAATCCAAAAAACTTCTTAATCATCATAGTATTGTTTCCATCACTTTCTAAATCTCGAATATTGATTATTCACAATGGATCTAACATCCGGGTATTAGATCGTGACCTGACAGTCGTGAACAACTTCAAATGCTGCCTCAAAATTAATTGCTTTAAACAATTTCAGATAAACACACACAGAGAAGGATTTTCCAGGAAACCAAATACTCACCCCACAATACTGCTCTTCGTTGAAGATCTGGGGTGGCAAAGGAATCCCATTTTGAGGTTTTTTCTCTCCAGGAACATTCTCTCTCATCCACTTCCTATTGTCTTCATCTCCAGCTATATCTAATTCCTTAAAGTCGATTTTATTAGCTTCTAAAAAGCCCACGACTTCTTGCTGTTTCTTCCTAATCTGGTCAAGAGTAGAGAAAGATCGTTATTAGGCTGTTTTTGAAAAATTTTTTGTTACATTTACATAAATTACATAAAGAGAGGTCTCCAGCTATACCGTACAACACAAATTTGTTAAGTATTCAAACAAGGAAAATAAGAAAATCACACCTTTTCATTATAAAGGATCAATAAAGTAACTATTTAAAATCTGAAATTTTAATAGCTTCAATGTTTAAATCATTGTATAATCAATTGTTAAACTAAATTTGGGCTTTAGAAGCCTCCACAGGAGTTCTATGTAAGAAACTGCAACCTAACTTCGTACGTACGCAAACTGAAAACCTAATCTAGAAATTTGCCTTTGAAACAGTAGCTGAGTCTCAGCCAATCACAGGCAGCCAACTGGGCAAACCACTGTTGAAATAAGGCAAGTACCCAGTTATAACCAATCCAGCTGTCTTTGTACCTTTCACTTCCCTTTTCTGTATGTCACTTCCTTGACTCTGGCTATAAATATAACCTGCACATGGTGGGGCAGAGCATTCTGAACCATTTTTGGTCTGGACTGCTGTTAGATTCTAGAATAGCAAATAAAAGCCAATTATGATCTACAAAACTAGATTTGTTGTAATTTTGTCTTTTAACACAACCTAATTGGAATAAAGATGCTCTCATATATTTTATTTACCATCTTCAAAATACTTTTAATTTTTTACAGAGCTTTAATGGCCAAAAAGTAAATGAATTAGTTAGGAAGAAAAGAGATCTGATTGGGAAAAGAGAAAGAAGAGAAAAAAGATAATTTACTATGAAATTCAAACCCAAGTATACCCACACTAAAATGTGTTTCAGTCAAAGTTATGAAAATAGGAGCATGAGTCACATTAAACTAAAAGTAGCTTTAGAAATATTACAGGGAATTGAAAAGCCAAGTCCTTCAGGTGGACAGATTCTTAAATTGTCTGTTTGGATGAAAACAAAGTACAGAACTAATTTGTACAACATAGAATAGAACACACTAAGGATGATAAAGAGGCAAAGATACTGTCTTTTTTTAAAAGTAAGATGAAAATTTTAAGTAAATATTTTCTATGACATGAAAATACCTAATACCTGAATTTTTTAAAGTCCTCTGAATAGAATAATGAAAATAAGGGCCCCTTGTCATTTTCACGTAATTCGCTTATCAGAAGGACTAGATTTTGAGGGTTCCAAGTAAATGCTATAAAAAGTTCGTGCCTGTCCCAAACCTAATGTCTAGATTCAAACCCTCTTTTAATTAAACCCAAATCCTCTCTTAGAGATCTGTATACTAAAAAAAAATCTATTTTATTCACTTTTGCCAAGATGAATGACTCACATATACAGTTTTT